ATAACTGAAAACAAAAAAAAAAAAGCAGGAGAGAAAGATGAGGAAAAACCCCAGCAGTAAGTTTACTTTCAGGTAGAACATTAGTCACAGAACATTTGCATAAAAATAAGCTCAGAAGAACCGGGGAATCCCGCAGGGCAGCGGCGCTGGGATCACACGCGGTTTTTCTGCACGAGGCCAGTTTATCCGCGTTCTAAATATAACTCGACACCTACTTCTCAGGGCTGAAGGCGAGAACCAAACTCCCAGAAACAGAAACTCCCAGAGCAACTGCCAGAAACAGGCTTTCCCACAAAGCTTTGTGACAGGCTCCTGGCCTCGTGCTGGGGGGGGGGGGAACTTGTACACCTTCTGTCCACACCACTTCCTGTTCACACCACTTCCTGTTCACACCACTTCCTGTTCACACCACTTCTGCCCTTCGCGACGTGAGCAAAAGAATAGGCAGGAGACTGGAAGGAAGCCACAGGAAATACTAAACTCGGAAATTAAAGGAACAAAACCTTCCAAGTGTGGTTTAAAGTCTCTGAACTGGTGGGCAGGGCCGTGTGCAGCCATCCCAGCAGACCCAGAGTGTCTGCGGGAGCCGCGCTGGCCGCGGACGGAACCCTGGGTGTCACCACCAGGGCATGGCTCTCCAAACCCCAAGGACAGGAGCCACTGTGGTTTCCTCCGTTATCTGTCCAGCTGGACCCCTCGGGAGGTGGAGGCCCCAGTCCCAGGGCCCCGACACACCCAGGTTCCCTGGGGCCCCACAAGCAGCTCTTCCCCCACTTGGCTGTTTCCGGCCGGAGCTGCCGGCTGTGCTCGCAAATGCCCCTGGGGAGAGCCACGGGGTGGTCCCTGCAGGCTTGGAGCGTAGGGTCAGTAAGCGTCTGTGGTCTGTGCTGATCCGAGAGGCCAAACTGAACTCCGGGAGCCTCAAGCAATGGGCAAACACAGTGGCTGGGGAGGTCACGGCCCACGGCGCCCACAGAGACACTGTCACGTACCTTTCAGGTGGTCTTCTTTGGTGATGATTTTGAAAACGTGCTTTGTTTCCTGTAGAAGGATTCCTGTAACTCCCACGTAAGAGGGGCATTTAGATTTCGTGACTGCAAAGGAAAAAAGACTGTTCAAGGCTCAGTTCTCTGTGGTGCTGGGGGAGCCACAGAACTGCAGGCCTCGGGGCAGGGGACGCCCGTCACACCCTCTGAGCCAGCAGAGGGAGGAAGAGCACCCAGAGGGTCGAGGCTCAACCGCGGGGCACTGGCCACGCTGGACAAGAACCGCTTGCCCTGGGGCTTTGTGGTCTCCGGGCTGTTCTTACGAGGTGTCCTCTGGAGCACCTGTGGCCACGGGGGTCTTGGGCAGGACCCGGGAGCCAGGAGGTCACACGCAGGCCCAGCGCCACCCAGGTGCAGTCTGCGCGCTCCGACAGAGCCAGGTCTTATTTGCAGGATCTGCGTGAGTGCCCATCGCCATGCACGGCCCAGGACCTCTGGGACACGGGCTGGAGCGGAAGCCCGGCTGCAGGGCTGTGAGCTCAGCCACCAGCGCAAGCAGCGGGCCCCTCACCTGTCCCGACCCCTGGCTGGCACTGTCCTGCGTAGGTGCTGGGGGCATAGCACTGAACGAAGACAGTCCTGGCTCCCGCGCTCATGGACGTTCTAACAGGAGAGGAGGTGACGTGTGGCAAACCACAGACGATTACATTTTCTGGCTGTGACAGTGTTACGAAGGAAGTAAGGACGGGGTGATACAGGTGCAGAGCCCTCACCTGCAGTGAAAGTGGACCCTCGGGGAAAGTGACATCTGAGAAGGGTCAGTCTTCGAACTCACAGGAGAGCTCTCCAGGCAGAGGGAAGGAGCAAGTGCAAAGGCCCTGAGGCAGGCCTGGTATATGAGGGGCAGAGAGCAAGGCCAGTGCGGCTAGACCTGCTATCCAGGGAAGCTGGAGAGGCCTTTTGGCCACAGTAAGGAGGCAGAATTCTACTCTAACATGGTGGGAAGCTAATGATGGTTTAAACCAAGGGAGGGACTGATCTGATTTCTGTTATAAAACCTTCACTCTGGCCACCTGGTTGTGGGGAGGAACAGCGTGTCAGCGGGGAGAGGGCTGGGTGGCTTGTAGACACGGGAGATGACAGTGGTTTAGGTCTGGGTAGGAGAACGCACTGACGCATTAGAGGTGAGGATTCGGAAAGAGAAAACACGGATACTTCCTAGGTTTTTGGCCTGAACGACCAGGTAACCAGTGGTGCCGTTAAACGAGATGGAGAAGACCGGGGTGGGGGTTGCTTTGGGGCGAGATCAGGAGTTCTGCTCTGGACATGCAGAGTTCGAGACGCCTGTTGGACATCTCAGCGGCTACGTCGAGTGGACGCCCGGAGTTCAGGGAGGGCCCACGTTGGGGATGTCAACCTGGGAGCCGCCGGTTCACGGCCGACGTACGAAACCGCGGGGCTGGGTGGGGGGAGTCTGTGCTCAGGATCAGAGCACGTGCGTGCGTGCCAGCAGCCACTGTGCCTTTGGGGTACCAGCAGGGTCCCCGTGACGAAAAGGAACCATCTGGGGTGTGTCCAGCCAGCGGCCAGAACTGGCTAAGACAGCCAGAAATCACCGCAACCTCCGTGCTGGCGATCTGGGGACACGGCAAGGAACGTGTCCGATACCGTACCACGAGCGCCGTGCTGCCCTCGGGTGACAGTTTGCGCGTCTGGATGACCATGTGCTCTTAGGCAAATTACCTGAAATTACAGCTCCGTGAAGATCTGCCTTTAACAGCTTGGCCTGAATCATCTGTGGCTGCCTACGAGGTAAACAGAGCCCTTAACTCACACCACGGTAACCGGTTCTGAAAGACGCAGCCGGGCCTGCAACCCTCCGCAGCCAGACGAGCAGAGCGCTGTTCCCAGAGCTGCCTTTACAGCGGCCCAGCGCCTGGGAGCCGCCGCCAGCGCAAAGCTTCAGCAGCGCAACTCACGTGTCTGGCTTGAGACCGTTGCACAGGTCCCTGATGTACTGTTTCCAGAGCTCGTGCAGAGGCAGAAAAAGACTGTACCTGGGGTAAGGTCAGAAACAGGTGAGAAGTCAGGCCACGTGAACTTAGGATGACAACGTCCAAACAGCACAGAGCTTGGCTTGGGGCCAAGAACTATGACCTGGGACCATCAGGGACGCTGCAAATCCCATTCCTCCCATTCCTCGGCTGGTAATCTGGCTAAAATCAAGAACCTTTGTTTCCTCACTGGCAGAACCTTCCTGAGGCTAAGTTTCTGCTAACGCGAGGAGGAAGGAGTGGCCTTTGTCCCTCCCTCCTTCCTGCGGGCCAGACGCAGCGTGGGGCTAGCTGGAGCGCGGCAGGCGGCTCAGCCCGGGGGGAGCGGCCAGCGGTGGACGTGTGCTGCCTGGCTGCCCGCTACGCCCGCCCAGCCGCTGTTCATCTGCACGTCTTCCCGTGAGGGAGAAATGAACTTCAGTCTTGTTTAAGCCAGTGTCATTCTGGGGTTTTCTCTGACATGAAAAGGAACTTGAGAAGCCCTCAATACAACAGGAGGTGCTGGTTGCCACGTGGGTCCCCGTGTCGAGTGAGGGGTCTGAGTGGAGGGTGAGCGGGCAAGAGGCGGGGAGCAGAAGGGGTGGGAACAGCAGAGGGCACCCACAGCCTTCCTCTGGGGACGTTACCACTTGTCTCACTGCCTTGGGGGAGTCCGTTTACATGGAGCCTTAGGGCAGAGAAACAAGAACCTCGAGTCCAAACCCAGAGCGAGCTCTGCCTACGAGGACGCCAGCTGACTTCGTGAGGGGGCCGGGGACGGAGTGATATACTTTGATTGCCTTCTGGAGTGTGGGAGGCTATTTGGCCACAGATCTCTAAGCAAAAGCCTACGGACGATCCCAAGACACGCAGACTCAGAACCGTCGCCAAGGAAAGACGGAGTGTCAGCCGCAGGGAGGGCGCCCTCCCACCAGACGGCGGTGCATTCCTTTGAGAAACTTCTGAAACGTGTAGGCAGCGTCTGTGTTTGGCAAAAAAACCCAAGTGGGTGACTCTGTCTGGTGCTATTAAAAGGCTACAGAGAGACACGCATTAAAAAATACCGGATCCTCTTTTCTGCCTAACGAAGCGAAAGCCAAACAGCCTGTTGCCACGGGCAACAGATGCACTTACGGCACCAGTCTCATCAGTTGAGGCGGGGACCCAGTCCTGCGTCTCACCAGGCCTTGCTTGAAAGCCAGACGCGGCCGCCGCGCAGATTGGTAAAGGCGGGCTGCCCCCGTGTGGTGGGAGACGGAGCGGCTTCCCCGGCTCAGGAGGAGCAGGGGCTGTCGGGAGGCGAAGCGCCCGTGGGTGGGAAGCGCTGGCTTACCTCTGCTGCTCTGGCTTTATGTCAAAGAGCCGCAGCTCCCTCCTCTGCCGGGCAGAGAGCCCTTTAGATTTCTGCTTCTTCTCCTTCCGCTTCCGGCGCGTGAAGTACTCCAGGACGACGGCCTTGCGCTGCAGCTGGTCCTCGCGCGCCTGCTGGCTCATGCGGGGCGTGCTCCGCTTTAGGAAGGCCTTCACGAAGGCCTCGGACCGCTGGGCTCCCGAGTGCTGCGTGGGACAGGGCGGCGTGGCACCCACTGCTCTGCTCTGGGCAGCCCGGGGTCTGGCACAGCCACCGGCCTCTCCCCGAGCCGCAGCGACAGCAGATGGCACTGCCCGTGCTGACCCGTCTCCCCGCCCGCCGAGGCTCACACGGACTCATCTGCCAGGTCTGCACACCCGCGACTGTCAGGATGTGAAAGGCACATCCGCACGCCAGTGTGTGACAGTCAAACACTGACTCCCTGTCCTGCTTCTCTGAGGTTATTCTGATGGGGATCAAAAACCTTTACATCTGGAAGAAGACTCCTCTCCTCCGCAGAAAGGGAAGCCTGAGAAATATGTGGCAAAGACACTTAACTAGTTACAACCAGGCAAAGGCAAGCTCGGGGCAGAACCAGCTACGTCCACGAAGGAAATGACCCTAACACCGGGGAAAACTGCAAAATTAGGCTTCAGGGTGGGCCCAGCTCTGGCCATGAAGGAAACGACCCTAACACCGGGGAAAACCGCAAAGTTAGGTGCTTCCGGGTGGGCCCAACCGCAGGGGTAGGAGTTTTGACACCGACAGTCCTCTCTCCTTGGGTTTTCAGCCTGCGGACACGGCACGGTGGCTCTCCAAGAGGTCTGCTCCCGTGTCGCTTGGAGAAAGGAACGGTCAGGAGCATCTCAGGCCCTGCACTGACTCTCTCCAACGCACAGCAACAGTGTCAGGTAACCGTGGATGAGCACAGGCTCTTGGGCATAGTCACTGTCACAACCGTGTGTGATTCTTGAACAAACCGCAGGCATCGCTACCTGTCAAGCTGGAGCCCCAACAATCCATTCATCCTCCCCTGGCAATGGTGCCTCTGCCCTCTTGTCTCCCACCGCCCGGGAACCTCTCCCAGCTGAGGTCCTGCCTCTTGGCTGGGCCATTTCCGGGGCCCAGTAACCAGGGCGTAAACACTAAGACTGAAGTCAACACAGACTGGTACTAATCTGTCAAGAGTAATCAAGCCCTCCTCCCACGAGAGAGTAGCAGAAATGAAAATACGATACACATAATCTTCCAAGTAGACACAGTAAGGACGGCAGGAACTACGTCTGCTTCAGCTTTGTACCTTTAGATGCTAACTAAAAATTAACTCATTACCATCATTATTACTGTAAGAGGACAGTGGTTTGATTCTTTTAAATATCTCAATGGCCCCTCTTTCATGGAGAAGTAAAATAAAAGTAAACTTAGTCTTTCAAAATCTTGATTTCAGGCCGGGCGCGGTGGCTCACGCCTGTAATCCTAGCTCTCTGGGAGGCCAAGGTGGGTGGATCGTTTGCGTTCAGGAGTTCAAGACCAGCCTGAGCAAGAGCGAGACCCCGTCTCTACTAAAAATAGAAAAGAAATTAATCGGACAACTAAAAATACATAAGAAAAAATCAGCCGGGCATGGTGGCGCATGCCTGTAGTCCCAGCTACTCGGGAGGCTGAGGCAGGAGGATCGCTTGAGCCCAGGAGTTTGAGGTTGCTGTGAGCTAGGCTGACGCCACGGCACTCTAGCCCGGGCAACAGAGTGAGACTCTGTCTCAAAAAAAAAAAAAAAAATCTTGATTTCAAGGTAATGCTCTTGTTATGAGCCACAAATGGAGCTTTCACCAAACTGACAAAACACGTTGAAGCACCCAGATATAATCTGTGAATTCCCCTTGTGAAATGTGATTTGCACGCCTTCTTCAGAAACGAAGAGGACGCAGCGACAAGGTCAGACGATGGTGCTCACCAGGTGAGCACGGCTTGATGTCTCCTGCACAGTGGGAGGTGATATTACGAAGTCTTAGTTTACGGAACTTGACTTTGTTTGACACAACAGGAAAGGAGGCTGGTATGTCAGGAGCAGGCAGAATAACAGACCCTGATCGAACCTAAGATGCCTACTGGAAAAATGAGGAGTAAGTCGTGGATAACGACATCTAAACCAGAACTCGAGGCTTAGAAGCCACTGAGCCATCTCTGCCACCACCTCTGTTGCTCCCAGACCTCCTACCAAGAACTGTACCTGAACACCGAACTCCTTTGCCTCTTTCTGAGAAAAGCCATGGTAGACCACACCTGGGGGATCTAAAAAGAAAAATAAAAAGGAGAAGTGATCAATTCTTATTGGGTATAGCTGTAAGACCCAAGACTTTTCTAACTATAAAAATAACTACGCTTATTCAGAGATAGGGGAAGATGGGGTTGGTACAAAGAGCAAAGCTTCAAAACTTTCCTGGATGCTTCTCACCCCGCCCTCTGGCCATATCTACCTGAGAAGTTCTAAGGGTATGGTTAAAGAGAGTGCTTCTCAAAATTTAATATGTGTAAAAATCTCTGGGATCTTACGAAAATGTAGTTTCTTGGTTCCCACCCCCAGATCCTGCATTTCTAACAAGTTCCCAGGTGCCGTGACAGGTTAGTGGATCACACTTTGCGTTGCACTGGTTTAAAACACCACATGTTTAGAAGTTCGAGCAGTTGTTCACTAAGTCTAACGAAGTAACTCATTTGAAAGTTACAATATAGCTGTCCAGGACGTAGGTGGTTGGACATAAAACTTTGTTATTAGATGTTTAAAAAAGGTTTTTCACATTTTAATCTATGAAATTGGAATGTATCATATACTTGATGGTGTCTTGAACTGATAAAATACAATAGGTTTTCAAACGCAAAATATATATTGATCGATGTGGTTTCAACCTCTAAAAAAAGTCTAAATAAGAAAACTGTGGCACTGGGGACAGAGTACAGGTGTGAATGGAATAAGAATGGGACAAGGGCCTGGTTTTCAAATGACTTGAAAATTTGATTCATGTAGTGCAGTGCAGCACTATAAATTTCATCCCAGCTCTCTCGTGTTTCCCTGAGTATGTCTGATCAGCAAACCAAGCTGGTTTCAAGTTTTATACAGAGTCTAGTTCTCCCTCACATGGAAGATGGGGATTATAACCTATTTGTAGAGAGCAGGTTGAAGGGCCTGAAACCCCAGGAATGACTTTGCTTCACCTGTTAAAGGTGCTCAGCATCAAATCTTTCTGCAACAACACACACCTAGCAGTTACTGAACACGCGTTACTTGCCACACGCCCGATTAAAAGCTACACGTACTTTATCTAATTACATTTATGCACATGAGAAACTGAAGCTCAGATATGCTGAGCCCCTAATCTTGGTCGCACAGGTAGGGAATGGCAGAGGTGGAAACCAAATCCTGATCAAAGGCCCAGTCTTTTTTTTTTTGAGACAGAGTCTCACTGTGTTGCCCGGGCTAGAGTGCCGTGGCGTCAGCCTAGCTCACAGCAACCTCAAACTGTGGGCTCAAGCGATCCTCCTGCCTCAGCCTCCCGAGCAGCTGGGACTACAGGCATGCGCCACCATGCCCGGCTAATTTTTTCTGTATATTTTTAGTTGTCCAGATAATTTCTATTTTTTTAGTAGAGACGAGGTCTCACTCTTGCTCAGGCTGGTCCCGAACTCCTGAGCTCAAGCGATCCGCCCGTCTCGGCCTCCCAGAGTGCTGGGATGACAGGCGTGAGCCACCGCGCCCGGCAAAAGGCCCGGTCTTAACAGTGTCTACACCTCCCTGCCCTGATGCTGGCTCCCCCCTTGGCCCATCTCTCCTCCGCGCCCCGTCCCAAAGCTCTGGGTTAGTGGTATCGTTCTCCAGCAGCTCTCAGCGTTTTACATCACACAAGGGTGGAGGACCAGGTAGAAAAGAGGGGCAGGAGCCAGACGCGGTGGCTCACGCCTGTAATCCCAGCACTCTGGGAGGCCGAGGCGGGCGGATCGTTTGAGCTCAGGAGTTCAAGACCAGCCTGAGCAAGAGCGAGACCCCCGTCTCTACTAAAAATAGAAAGAAATTAATCGGACAACTAAAAATATATAAAAAAATTAGCCGGGCATGGTGGCGCATGCCTGTAGTCCCAGCTACTCGGGAGGCTGACGCAGGAGGATCGCTTGAGCCCAGGAGTTGGAGATTGCTGTGAGCGAGGATGACGCCATGGCACTCTAGCCGGGGCAACACAGTGAGACTCTGTCTCAAAAAAAAAAAAAAAAGAAAAGAGGGGCAGGGCCTCGACTGCGGTCACCCAGAGGGCTAGTGGCCAAGTCGGGCCAAGGCCGTGGGCCCTAATCCAGCACCGCACACAACTGCGCTGGCCCGCAGAACCTGCCAGCTTCCCCGCTGACGTCAACACCTAGCTCAGCGACTACCCTGCACTCCGACCCTCCGTTTCTCTTGTGTAAAATGTGGCAATCCCCGCAGCGACAGGTAGCCCTAACGCATCCCCCCACCAGCACCAAGCCCCCGACCCGTAACATCCCCCCTCTGCAACGCCGTGGCCCCGCTTACTCTTCATTTTCGGACCGCTTCCGGTGCGCTCTGATGACGTATCCTTCAGCCGTCGCTCGTTTCCTTTCTCCACTCAGTTCAGCGGCGCAGAGGCGGCCGGAAGCGCCGGAACTCGGAGACGGCGCCGCTTGTGACGTCACGCCGCGCGCCGACCTCGGGCGGCGCATGCCTCAGGGGCAGGACGGTGCTGAGGGTGCTGACGGTCCGCTCGTTTCTTAGGGCCATTTCAACTTGTGTCCTTTGTACACTGAGCAGCAGTCTCGGCGACTCCGCCGGGACCCCGAACGGGGATATTTCCCCAGGGAAGGGCCCGAACAGCCGCGGGACTTCCGGGGTGCGGCCCTGGCGGAAGACTGAGCGGCCGCCTGAAATAGTCACTTCAGCGTCTCGCGATGCTTGGATTTGCCCTCGGCGCCGGGCGCTTTTGTTTCCCCTCTGGCAGCGTTTTCCTCTCGCTCTCTCGTTTCCCCTTCCCCTCTGCCTGGCTTAGGGGTCTCTGGAATACGGGGCTCCAGTCCCCTCTGTGCTGAGCTTTAAGATCCCCTCCGACGGCCCGGGGCGGATTCTGAGCAGTCCCGGGAAACCTGGCGGGCTGGGTAGGGCGGTCGGCACCCGGGCCTAATGGATCCGGAGGGCAGCCGCTGGCCCGGGTGTTTCTGGTTCCTCCTTTGCTTCTCTTTTCTCTTCTCCCGCCCCCCAGACTCCCCAATTCCATCCCATTCCTCTGTCTCTGGGAACCACCTGCAGCCCTGCTCCCCTCAGCCAGAGCGCCCTTGCTCCCTCCGCCTGGAAACGGTGCATCTCGACCAGGGCCTCGTCCCATCCCGAGCAGACCTAGGGCGCCGAGGCTCTCAAGTCTCTTTTTCTCCTCCCTCTTCCTCTTTCCGCTCTTCTTTCTCACACGTCCCTCTTAGGAGTCTTTCCCTTTCAGTCTGGCTCCTTGTCTGGGATCCGCCAACAATTTCCTACTCTCCTGTCTTCTTCCTAGAACAGAGGGAGAGGTTTTCCCCCTTTACTTCCCTTTTTATCTCACTCTGTTGCCCAACCAGACTGGAGCGTTCTTCGTTTTGTCTGCTCCGGGGAATTCCTGCCAGACAGAACACGGGTCCGTTTTCCTTTTCTTGAGGCTGTCCCCACACTGGAATTGGGACAGGGCTGGAGAGCAAACGGAGCTGGTGTTGTGGTGCCTGGGTCCCGAAGCCCTGCCGGAGGCGGGGGTGCACCTGCCCTTCGTGGTATCTGGAGCCTGGGGAGGACCTGAAACTATTTGAACCTGATTCAGAGCAGACCCCTTGGCATAGCTGCCCGGCAGGGAATGGCGTGCCCTTCCCGGGAGATGCAGATACCTGTTAGTCTCCTCCAGTTTATTCTGTCTTTCGACATATAATACCCAGCTTAAAAGGCAAAAAACAGTTTATATGATACCCACTGAAGTAGGACATGTGACCCATAGTCGTCACTAAAGAAGAAAGAACAGTCACTAAAGCAGAACCGAAGGTGACCTGGATGTTTGCACTGGAAGACAAGGCCTTTAAAATACTATTGTAGGGCCAGGCTCGGTGGGTTACACCTGTAATCCCAGCACCCTGGGAGGCCGAGGCGGGAGGATCGTTGGAGGTCAGGAGTTCGAGACCAGCCTGAGCAAGAGCGAGACCGCCCCCCCTACTAAAAAATAGAAAGAAATTGGCTGGACAACTAAAAATATATAGAAAAAATTAGCCGGGCATGGTGGCACGTGCCTGTAGTCCCAGTTACTCGGGAGGCTGAGGCAGGAGGATCGCTTGAGCCCGGGAGTGTGAGGTTACTGTGAGCTAGGCTGACGCCATGGCACTCTAGCCTGGGCAACAGAGTGAGACTCTGTCTCAAAAAA